GTCTGCTTGCAGCAGTGCACAGCCGATGGCAAAGTCCGAAGCGTCACAAACGACGCTGGAAGGACTATCACGGTCTGGCAGCGCCAGTATTGGCGCATGCAGGAGGCTGTCTTTGACTCCGTCAAAAGGCTCCTAATGTTCGGTGTTCCACTATAGTGCTCCAAATGCAAACTTAATAAGTATCACAATGGGTATTGGCGTTGCGACATCAAACGTGAGCTGTGGCGGACTCAAGGAACCTTTAGACATCATAAAGCCACGCTACATACAGTCTGGTCTCATGCTTGTGGACTATCTGACCTTTGGGGGGTAATAAGTGTCGACCTCAGATGTTGCTTTGTCTTAGCTTTCGCTTACATCGCTATATCTTATCCCAAGGCTTACGGTGTTACAGAATCGATCCACTTCAAGATCATGGTCTCGAGTATGTAATACCCTACCAGGTATATATTAACCGTTTAAGTTGCTACTTCGGGAGAGATATAACATACTACTAAGTTAGCGCTATGTATTCATTGTACAGCATCTATAGGTGCGTAAACACATATGTGCAAAATGGGCCAACGGGTTAGCCTTTCGCTGCTTGAATCTGCGCCTTTGGCCCGTCTGCCAGTCCATAAAGTGTGTTGTGGTATTTATTTACGCTCTTCCAAAAGACGCGTTCAATACCGACGTTATGCTCTTTAAGAGTCGTCAAAGCATATACCTTATCTAAATGCTTTGAGCGATCCAAAACCGGCGGGGTACAACTAATTCTTAGAAAAATTCTGCCAACATGTCTTGTCCGCCGCCATTGTGTTGGATCGAGATTTGTACTTAACAGCCAAGTTTTAATAAACGTTGCTTAAGGTAATAGGCCCTGTCAACAGCTGATCATTAGCTGATAGATGGTCGGTGTTTATTGCGTAGAGGTAAACATCCTCCGAGCAGTTGCGCAGAGAGATCGCAATTTTAGAGCGAGTTAATCCCACTCATTGAGCTTGCGATTAATGATGCAGCAGACATATCTGTAAGTTTGGATCATTTTTCACATATGGCTTAGTTTATTACCCCGGGTTCCTCTGACAGTGCAGCGAGGCTGTCGTAGGTCTTTGCTAAGAGGAAGCAAAGCTAAGGTCACCGACCTTACGTTCTATATTAGAACCAGTACGAGTATACCGGATCGCGATCCGCTACCTACAAGAGTACTGAAAACCTTTGTAAAGGTAAAGACGCTCTTCCGTTTACAATTGAAACTGTATTTAATTGTTTTATTTGCGGCAGGGCCGCCTATACTTAAACCTTGGGTTTTCCTGATAAAATATAAAAACCTAATTAATATGCACGACTACTGGCAGTCCTGCCACGTCGCGACTTCTTGTTACGGTGTAGCCACATCATTGTTTGATTATACCAACTTGTGTAATTCACACCGTTGTACGGTCACCCCATCTTGTGTGACCCGCCCTTTCAAACAAGGGTACGTGTAACCCTGTTACAGACAGAGCCATCAAGTGGGTCTGGTTTTGGTGGGTGCCGTTGATATGATTTGACTAACCCAAACCACAAAATCAATGATTTATATCAATAAAAGTATGGTCTAGGTGCAAGAGTACAAAGCTATGGTCGAGTTTCAGGATGTTCAAAATAAACAGTCTAGTCTCGGAGGCAGCAGAAATAGACAAATATATTTTATGGTGGAAAGGCTTCGTTATTTGCTGTTAACTTCCATCAAGCATACACGGTCGTAGCAAAAAAAACTTACTATCTTGAAGAGATTGCGGCCGCACATTTGCACGTAAACTTGCTGAAGCCATATCATGATCCCATTTTTACGAGCCAGTCGGATGTGAAGCGCTTTGTTAAAGACGGAACGTCGTCTTTACCATCACCTTTACGTGAACTACCCCCTTGTTCGAAGCAGTGACACGACTAGGGGCGTATTGCTAGATGTTAAGGTTCAACTAAAAATTCAAAGGTAAATGAAGACTCACCAAAAATAATATCTTGAATTTGCTAACTTGTTTTATTTATCTTAATAACTTATGAAAGCAATAAATGAAATTTACTCTTGCTGCAAATGATGAGTGCTAATATTCGCAGTTTCTTTAGATATGCCAGCTATCGCGATTCGGTGTCTCGATTTGCGTAGTGTGATGGCAAAGCTAAAAGAAGCAAATCGTGATGCTAAATGCAAACGTGCGCCAAGATTCTCGAGACGGATCGATGTGCCACCACAAACGATATGGCTCAAAAGAGCCATCCTCAAAACGGTTACCTCAGTCGGCACTGCTTGATGGACAATGGTGACGTGGAAGGATAACTTCAATCGAGGCGCATGATTCCCAAGTCTGGTAAAATTATATTTGATTGGTGGTAGTTTCCTGGCGCAATCTTTAACTTTATTGGCTTCAGTGCGCTTCAAGATATGTCGACCTCATGGCGAAAAGGACCCTTGGTTGTTAGTAATAAGAGCTATCCCGTGGAGACGAGAGGGGGCAGAGGTGATGAAATTATCCTTGACGTTTGCATCATGCTTTTTACTTTGCATAGTAGAGCATCAGACACCGCTCTAGTCGGAAGTCTGCTTTGTTGAAGCTTGCTTGTAAGGCTGTGAGATGGTTGAGACGACGCGGCTTTCTCATCCAAAACACGAAATCGTACGGTACTCCTTGGCACTCCTGACAACATTCATACCCAAGGTACGGTCTTCATGAAAGGTACGAGGTTGTCGGCTAATGCTGCCTTAAGCACAGGTGGTATTCATGTGGGGTCAGAAAGCGCTCACTGAGCAACTATAGGCGTTTGTTTACCTCACATCAAGAACAAAAGCTCGCATGAATGGTCATGTCAATATTGTGCCCTAGCGCTATGAGCAACTATAAGGTTCGATATCATGATATCGATGTGGTGAGATTGCCAAGAATCATTGCGACTCTTGCGCTTGTAAACGGGCAAGCTAGTATCTTTAGAACGAGCCCATCTCACCCATGACGAGCTGGATATCGCAGTGAGCTTCACGGCAGGATGACGCAGCTGTAACGGGGTTACACGTACCCGTGTATGAAAGGGCTGTCGCACATGATGATGTGACCATACATACGTGTGAATTACATAAGTTGGTGTAACCACACAGTGGTGTGGCTACACCGTGAAAAGTAGCCACATAGTGGCAGGATCGCCAGTAGTAATGTATATAAGTGTATTGATTAGGTCTTACTATATTGAATAAGTATTACTATATTAATTTGGAAAACCTAAAGTTTTAGTTATTGGCGGCTCTGCCGCAACTAAAACAATTAAGTACAATTTCAATGTCGAACTGAAGAATCTCTTCACCTTGGCTAAGGTTTAAGTACTCTTGGAAGCAGCAGATTGCGACCCGCTGCACTCGTACTGGATCTTGTAAAGGACGTAAGGTTGGTGGCCTTAGCTTAGCTCCCTCTCAAGCTACGGCAGTCCCGCTGCAGCAGCCCTTTCCGCCGTTAAAATGGGCACGGTGATTGTACCTCTTGCAGGGGGGGTAGAGCGTAGAAAATATCTTCATCCCAATGGGTGGCTCGGCTTTATGTCCAGGTAATGGCGGGGGTATCGTGTAATGGATTGGAGAGTCGCTTCGACCACTCACTTCATAGGACATCCTGGCCTGTGGTATGCGGTCTGAGGCGTAGGCTCGTCGGCCGCAGAAATCACGTCTTTAGTAGAGATTGGCTGTGTCAGAGATGTGGCATTTGAATTAAGACTTCCGACGCAAAACGCTTAGGGAGCAGGTACTCCGGGGTGCAAGAGTGGGCATCTGAGCTTTCACGTTTTTGCAATACATCAAAATAAGAAGCAGTTAGCCCCGGTGTGGTGTACAATTGTACGAGAATCGCATCAAACATTGTGGATGTTCAGTAGTACCGAATAATAAGATGATGGAACTCCATAATTGGGATGTCTGTAGTACACGTGGGTTGATAACCTCAAGCCATAAATCTGCATGTAAGGTTGAATAGTATTAATGCTCACTATATGTCACTTTTGAATACTAATATTTAGGCTCTAAATATCGCTCCTAGTTGGAGCGTGGAACCAACCTCTGTGCGCTGTATACGCGAAGTCAAAAAAAATTGTGCTAGTTGACCCCGTTGCATAACAGGTGAAGGCAATACCTCCATAAAACTCAAATAAAGATCTACATAAACTTTCAATTAAATACGTTTTTGTGATTTCATCTGACGATCTTCAAATTAAGCCATGCAAAGTTCAGGAAGGCGCGTTGTGGTCTCACCTTCCGCCAGTAATGCCTTGTTCGGCTCGTTGATAACTAATTTTTGCCATTTGCATTGCTGTTCGTTGGCTGTGCTCGTCTTCGTCATGAAAACCGAATCATTTGACAACGCCAATAAGTCTGTCACGCAGAGTTTTCGAGAATCAACACTCCAATTTAATGCATTGGACAACGCTGCTCGAACTGTATTGATAGTTGCAAGTACTTCGACCTTCAAAGCCATTTTCCGAGGAAATGTTGCGTCCTGCGCCCCCACCTTAACATGTAAGATCTCTCCTGCCTCCTCATCCATGAACAGGTGAATATTTGCACAGCGCGACGCAGTTACTAACAACATGATCGGGTAATAGCTTATACTATTTGGGGGGAGGAGCGTATAATTCGTGCACCACATTTTTGTCTCATCACCAGTAAACAGGCGATCGGCATAGACGGCTAATAGGATGGGCTCAGGTGTGCCCTTCTTCTTTTTGGTCTTCAGTGGTCGAATCGGAAGTGAAAACAGGCTGCGGCTGCCAGTTGACGCCTTGACATTGTCCCTCTGCTGCTTCCACGAAAGATTGCACAAATTACTGCCCGCTACACGAAACTTAAACACTCGCTCGCCATCTTCTGAGTTTCGTCGCATACTTAGGTCCACAGGAAATTTCTCACCACGAATGTAGTAAAGTAAAGCGACTGGAAAACTTGTTTCTTGCATTGTAGACTCGGCTACGTCAAAAAAACAATTTATATCGCTTTCTGCCTGACTCTTTGGTGTAGTGTAAGCGTAAATCGACACAACATTCTGATCATAAGCAAGAAAAGCAAGCTCATCCATCGGATTATCGCTGCCAGCCAATTGATTAAATAGCGTAGCTTTATCTCGATCTGACAGCGACATAAATGCTGCCATTTCTATTTTGTCCAAATTCAAGTCCACTCGATCACAGTCTTCATCATCATCGACAATATTAGACGGCTTGCCTCTGGTGCATCCAATCAGCTGATCACCATAGTTCTGAATGATTAAGAAGCGTAAAATACACACTACATTGCGCTTGCTCGTGATAGTGTCGCGAGCAAAATTGAGAAGTTCCTGATCCATCCGCTGAGAGCTTGCATACGCATCAAGCTTATTTAGCATCAGAATCGTGTTCGCATCAAAAAGCTTATCAAACTCTCCATTTTTGCTATTGAATAGAGAGATTAGCCGCGCACATAGATCTGATATCAAATAGTTTAGCGTTTGGTATCGCCGAAAGGAGATTGACAGTTTGTGCAAGACACCATTGAAATTGCGCTTAACGTTTACACGATGCTTACTCATCATTTGTATATAGAAGAGCCATATTGACAAAGGCTCGCTCCACATCCCTCCATCCAGCTGAAGTTTTGCCTGAAGATTTCTTTTCATCTCTTGTACATATGTTTGTGCTGATTTGATATGATAAAATGACGGCATCATAAAGATATCTGGCAATGAAAGAATTGCCACTAAAATGACGGTATTTAGCAAAAGTGACCATGACCTATCCTCAGAATTCATGTCTTGAATCATGTAAGCGCCTGTCATCAACAACCGACAGAGATCGAGACTAAGCGGCATATGACATACAAACGACCCGAATTTTGTCAACTGAGAACCCTCCTCTTCTGTAGAGTCAATCGCATCATAAGCCGCCAGCAGTTTGTACGCCCCGTGAATATGCGAGAGGTCCGGAGCGTCCATAGCTTGTTGAAGAAGTACACTCGGGACTCCAAAATCACTAAGCCGTCCCTTTAGCTGAAGAATTATTCGGTCAAGCGGTTTTCGTAACAGCTCGGGGGTATTGTATTCTGCCATACAATAGTCTTGGAATGCTTTCGTAAATAAGTGAAAAGCTACGCCAGGCATGACACGTCCTGCTCTCCCAGCACGCTGCAGCACAGACGCGCGCGAGCACCAAGACTCCATCAAGACCTCTGCATGCGAGCTTTCAGCATTGGGAATCTCGATCTGCTTCTCGATTGCGCAATTAATTACGTGGGTAACATCAGGAATAGTTACACTACTCTCAGCAATATTCGTTGACAAAATCACTTTTGTTGATCTTCCAGGAAGCACCTTAAAAGCTTCCTGCTGATTCTCCAGCTCAATTCCCGAGTGTAAAACCAAAACCTGAACATCAGAACCCTCTGCGCCCGTAGCCAGAAGGCTCAACGATTCGTAAAGCGCATTGATGCTTCCGATACCAGGGACAAAGATGAGAATGCACTGTGAATGCGATCCACTTTGATGAATCTGGCTATCGATTAATAAACGTACCATTTCCTCAATTAGAACAATCTGCTTCTCGTGAATTTTCGTAATCGCCTTCTTTGCTATCTGGCTACCGGCACTTATGCGACTTTCGGAGATCCTTAAAAATTGATCTCTCATACTTACTATATCTTTCTTACGACGTCGCCACAAATCTGGAAAGTAATCTGCTAACTCATCGAGATAAACACTTTTCACAGGGTGCAACTTGGAGCCGACAAAAAGAGGTTTTTTGTTTATCAAACTTGTCGATGAGGCCTTACCAAGATACTTAATAAGGACTTGAGCGTCCATAGTTGCAGACATGATCACGAGACGGAGGTGAGAATGGTTTTTTAGCTGGAGTTTAAGCAAAAGCAAGAGCAAGTCCACGTCCAAACTGCGTTCGTGTACTTCATCCAATACCAGGTGCGTGATCTTCATTAGCGCTTCCGGGTCGTGAATTATGCGCTCAACCATGTACCCTGTTGTGACATAAGTAATTCTTGTCTTGCTAGACGTCATCTGCTTTTGGCCAATACGGTAGCCAACGACATTTCCTATCTTGCCATCTTCCTGAAACTCGTTACCTTCTCGCATCCTAGCCACTGTATTAGCTAATTCAATTGCAGCAATCCGCCTTGGTTGTGTCACGTAGATATTAACAGGACGTTTAGAAGTCGTGCTTCCGCTAGCCCATGAGTCGTACAAAAACTGAGGTACAGACGTGCTTTTGCCACAGCCAGTCTCCCCTTGAATAATTGTCAACTGATTTGACGCCACGTTTTTCAAAATATCTTCGCGATGGGCATATACTGGCAACGTCTTCATCATTCCTTTTAAATTGAGTAGCTTATCGGTTTTAGTCTCAGGCTCGAGAAAATATCCAGCACTGTCGCGCAATGCACTGTCGCTGCCAAGACGCTTTACTAAAGACGAAGGCACCAAACCCTTATGAGGACTCGCGTGAAACGATGGAGCTGAAGTATTGCGCTGAAACGGCGGACAGCTGGGTGTCAGTGCCGATGTTTGGCGATTTAATGGCAAAGCAGGAGGCAGGGGCGGCAAGGGGGCTATAGCTGCATGTTGTACAACCAAAGTGCCATCATTACTGACAAACTGGTGTCGACTGCTTCGCATAGCTTTTTCTAATGCTGTAGTTGCCGCGCTCGTGGATGTCAAGCTTGCGTATGCCACATCAACGGGTAATACGACCAGCGCTTTTAGGCGCTGCATTGTCGAACGGATGGAAATGTATTCCGACCAGAAGCGATTTTTGTCGACAACTTCAGCAAACGAGTTCGTCACTAATCCCACTTCGTTTTGAGATAATTCTGTACCTTTCTTTTGCGAAATCTTTACCTGGGAATCACAATGCATCAAGGTGTGACACACTTTGATGAACACTTCTCCCGAGAAATAGGTATTGCATCCCGAAAGAAGTGGCACTTTGCATCCTAAAAGAAGCCGCAATTGATGTAATTGCTTGAGCACTTCCAAATACTCGCCGACTATGGCGTAGATTTGTAAATTTAACAGTTGCTCATCAAACAGAATGCGATCCCATTTACTTGATTTTTGCTTACAACAATCCACGGCAAGTGAAATCAATGAAGATAGTAATAATAGTTCCAAAAAACGATCATCAACCAGATTCGCGCTCTTTAAAAACGTGCAGTCTTGTTTCCATATGATGAGCAAAGCGTATACAACGTTCGTCACTGCTATTCCCATTTTGTCTTCCTTTCTGAGCAGGCTATCAAACTGTGTAACCTTGGGAGTCCCTCCGCTAGGATCTTGATAAAGAAGGACATTAATCAATGAACTAAACATTTGTCCAACCTCATTTGCCATGCGTCTATGGATAGGAATCGATATAAACGGGCGAAGAAACTCTAATGGTGCAACATGAACTTCAATACAATCGCCACCAATCATTTCTTCAACAACGGGATTGTCTAATACTAAATATGACAAACGCCGCAATGGCGCAAGCATTACATTTTGCGACTTGTCCTCCAGGCCAAAAATTGCCGCCATAACATCAAATCGATGGCTAAGTCCACAGGCTTTCGTTTCCAATATGTCAACCGCCATAGGTGGATACTCATAATAATCAATCAGCTTTTTATACATTTTTAATTTCTTTGGCGATAAACTTGGCTCAACTTTCATGGGGAATTTCATAAGAAACAAATCATCATAGCCATAAAACCGATAAATCTCAAATAGCGCTCGCAAAAAACCTGCTCTTTTCGACTCTAGCATGTTCAAAAAAGGGTTATGTAGTATAGGCATATGTTCTACAACCCATCTCGCGGCATTCACTGGATAAAGTTTGCCCTTCTTTCTTTGTACCGGAAAATCCAAAATCGTAGCCATTTCGAATTCATTATCAAGCAATGGCGTAAAATCATTGCCGCACAGCAAAGCCAAGTCAACCAACTGTTCCATCTCAAGTCCAAGAGATTTCGCTACCATATCAGAGGAAAACACTCTTGCCTGAATTTTTAAGTGATCTTGATTCTCATCACTTTTATAGAAAGTCAAATTTCCAAATGGAATGTACCTCACGCCACTCATAACTAAGAAATCCGAATCCTCTGCTAATACAGCAAATGCTTTTCCCGACCGCACAAGATTGCCCAGCTCTTCATCAGCTTCTCGACTCGCTGTCTTAACTCCAATACCGTGCTTTTTGAGCACGCTGCGTAGTTTTTCTCGAGCAAATGGGAACCGCCCATTAGTCTGTAATAAAGTTCTCGCCATTCTTTGTTGCTGTTGGAATTTCAGTTGCGAATCTTTCATTGTTTGATTTTGTTTGGAATTATCAACAGATTCAGTAGCGAGAGTAGCATGACCTTCCTCGAGACTCTGAGCCAGCTGCTTGATTTGCTCAGCTTTCTGCGATGCACGCTCCTCAAGACAGTAGCCCTTGCGGTGGTTTTCGCCTCCAAAACACCGCGGCGGATCTGTGATAAACACAAGACGAATTTTGCGTTTGTGCAAGCGCTTAATCCAAGACGTCACATAACGCTCGAGACGCAGTGTGCATCCGCCCAGCAGCAACCACGAGAACGACGCGTTGCTTTCGTTATAAACTTCTTCACATACGTGATATAGAAAACCTACAAAATCCACAGCCAAGGTCACATCATGGAGATCTGGCTCCGTAATGGATGTTTTGGTCTGATTTTGACGGCAGTAGCTTGTCAATCCTCGTACGCCCATAACTAAATATGAACTTTGAATTAAAATTAATCACGTTTCTCTCTTATCTTTTTTTAGAGAAATTGTGATGAATTATTAAGATCTTAATTTACCTGCATGATTACCGGTCCACGCTTCGTTCGTGGCTGTGTGGTGCACGCACCATCACTTAGTAATATCGAGCTTTGTGAGGATGCCTTCCTGTCCATTGATCCTCTGACGGGGCGCATTGCTGCTTTCCATACTCAAATTACTCCTTCTGACCTACATGTGCTCTCAAATGCTCGTTCTTCTGACGTTTTGCACCTTCGTAAGGGCCAATTTATCATTCCAGGCTTCGTGGATACGCACGTGCATGCACCACAATTTCAATTTATGGGAACTGCCACCGATCTTCCATTGATGCAGTGGCTTGAAAAGTATACATTTCCGGTAGAACAGGCTTTTGAGGATCCGAAAGTGGCTTTAAAATGGTATTCGGCACTTTTGGACACAATGTTGAGCCAGGGTATCACCACTGCTCAGTATTTTGCCACAATTCATCTTCAAGCTACCAAAATACTCGTAGACCTTGTGGAGAGTCGAGGTCAAAGAGGTTTGGTTGGGCTCGTCTCTATGGATCGGAACGCTCCAGACACGTACATACTATCAACTGACCAGTGTCTAGCAGATGCAGAAGATTTTATCCAGTACGTCTTAAATAAAGCCCTTGATTTGGTAAAGCCAGTCATCACTCCAAGATTTGTGCCGACATGCTCATTGCAGTTAATGGACGGGCTGGGCGCTTTGGCAAAGAAGTATAATGTGCATGTGCAGTCGCACATTGCTGAGTCGAGAGATGAAGAAGCATTTGTGGAGACGCTGCATCCTGGAAAACGAGATATTGAGCTGTTTGAAAAAGCTGGGCTTTTGACGCCGAAAAGCTGCATGGCTCATGCAGTGCACCTAAAGGAGAATGAGCTGGAAGTCTTGCATCGCACCGGAACAGCAATCTCGTGTTGCCCACTGTCCAACTTTTTTTTTGCCAATGGATTTTTGGATGTTAGAAAAGTACTCGAAAAGAGCGTCAATGTCGGACTTGGCACGGACATTGCCGGTGGATACTCACCGAGTATGTTGCGTGCGATTCAGACTTGCGTGCTGTCGATTAAGGCCCTGGAAATTCAAGACGGCACATCTAGAGCCCCCACTTATCCATTTGATTTCAAAGATGCTTTCTATCTAGCAACAATGGGTGGTGCGAAGGCTCTTAACGTTGATAAGGACACGGGTAGTTTTGCAGTGGGAAAATGTTTCGATGCCATTTTTGTTGATGTGAATTGTGGTCACAACTTGGTGAAATCCAAGCGTGATACCTCAATGGATGTATTTCAAAAATTTATTCATAACGCAGACAACCGCAACTTTACTAAAGTGTATGTTAAAGGTAAAGTAGTGTACGAGAAGAATGAATTCTCTAATAAATCAAGCGTATCTAACTAAATCATTCGATGAGTCAAAGCTTAAAACACATAAGCACTAAACACCATATGAGTCCTTGACGTTTACAGTTAAGACTGCCAAAATTGGTGAGCCTTGGATCAGCTGTCAGGCTCCATTAGCGCGCCAACTTTTAACGAAGACATTAAAAGCAACTTAGAGAATTGTATGCCGTTTCTGTAGATTTCTTTCCATCGCAGAAATTTTAACACATGACGGCAGATGTTCAAGCTATTGTGCTACTCGCCATCTTGGATAATCTAAAAATAATCAACATCTATAGAGTAATGACTTCTACCTAGCTATCAATATATACTATACTGTATCAACTCTAACATACAATCTG